CTACCTCCCACAGGCAGCCCCTTCCAACGTTCAGCAGCTCACATGCCATTAGAAAACGCTCTAATTCCAAGCAGAAATCTGTTTCAGATCACTCCGCCTGAGCTCCCTAACCTGTCTGTGCTTTATCTCATCCCCAGTGGGGCTAGCAATAGGGCCCAGCGGACCTCCAGACACAAGTCCTGCCTGGCGGCCACCAGGAAGGTTCCCTTTGGAGTTTAATGCCTTGCAAGCTCCCACCTGGCATCAGCAATTATGGAGCTAGTGGGCTCACCGGGGCCCCTCAGCCTGGGACCTGCTGGGTTCCCTGTGATGTGCTGACGTCTGAAAACCTATAGGACTGACAGTGCACTTCCTGAAGCATCCGTTTATTTGATAATAAGTAATTTAAAATGTTATTTTGGGTGAAAAATTGCTTTTATACTGAAACAAACATGGGATATTATGGATTTGACTGCAGAATTCCCCTAGATATTCAAAATAAATTGAGACGTCCGGTTTCTTAAAAACTCCAGACCTCGGGGTTCGGGGTGGGAGTCATTCTCTGTAGGGTAGACATTTCCTGTAGAAAAATTCCAGACGCTCTTCTCAGGGTAGCTCATCTATCGATCCCTTCTTGCTCATCTGATATTCCTTAGACCCTGCCCAGCAGCTGGCCCTGAGCCAGAGAGGATGGGCGTGGGGGACGCTCTCAGGGCTGGGGGAGCAGAGAAGACACGACTGGGACGCAGGAGCTGGCTGTCTGTGAGGTTGCTGGGCACAGCACTGTCTGTACCACAGGATAGTTTTGCTTAAGTGACAACTGTGGGGGTTTGATCACAGAGGCTGTGGAAGCAGCCGGAGGTTCTGAGGCCCGCCCTGTCTCCCCCACACCCCACATTCTGTGACCCAGGAGAACTCGGGCCAGGAGCTGCACTGGGCGCCTGGTCCACACAGCCTGGGGCCCTCTAACCCTCTGGGGGTCTCGAGGATGAATGGAGTTTGTGAACTGTCAATGTTCCTCAAAGGCCCTGCATCTGCCGTCGAGGCCGCGCAGGCTTGTGGACACGTGGACACGTCAAGAGCCCTCTTGGCTCTGGGTTGACATCAACTCTGCGTGGGAACATAGCCCGTGCTCGGGCCGAGCCCACCCAGGATGGCAGTGATCTGTGTCCTCGTTAGCTTTCAAAACAGGGGGCCCAGAAGGAAGAATCATGAAAGACACCCTTATTGAAAAAAATGTCTGGGGGCCCATCTGAGAGCCTCCCTCTGGCTTCGGCAGAGAAGCGGCAAGAGCCACCCCCACTCTTAGGTTCTGGGTTCCAGGGGAAGCCGCATGCAGCACCTGCTCCTTTCCAGGCCGCGGGGGAGCCTTCAGGACAGACTTCACAGTGCGCACCTGCGTGTGGTGGCGGTGGGGAGGGGTGGCGCTAGTGGATGGAGGGCGGGGTGGAGGTAGTGGAGGGCGGGGAGGCGCTAGTGGAGGGCGGGGTGGCGGTAGTGGAGGGCGGGGAGGCGGTAGTGGAGGGCGGGGTGGAGGGAGTGGAGGGCTGGGGGAGGCGGTAGTGGAGGGCGGGGTGGCGGGTAGGTGGAGGGCAGGGGATGGCCGGTAGTGGAGGGCGGGTGGCGGTGGTGGGGGCGTGGTGCGGTAGTGGAGGGCGGGGATGGCGCGTGGTGGAGGGCGGGGTGGCGGTAGGTGGAGGGCGGGTGGCGGTAGTGTAGGCGGGCGGGGGTGGCGGTGGTGGAGGGCGGGGTGGCGGTGGTGGAGGGCGGGGAGGCGGTGGTGGAGGGCGGGGTGGCGGTGGTGGAGGGCGGGGTGGCGGTGGTGGAGGGCGGGGAGGCTCTGGTGGAGGGCGGGGTGGCGGTAGTGGAGGGCGGGGTGGCGGTAGTGGAGGGCTGGGTGGAGGTAGTGAGGGCGGGAAGGCGCTGGTGGAGGGCGGGGTGGCGGTGGTGGAGGGCGGGGTGGCGGTGGTGGAGGGCGGGGTGGCGCTGGTGGAGGGCGGGGAGGCGGTGGTGGAGGGCGGGGTGGCGGTGGTGGAGGGCGGGGTGGCGGTAGTGGAGGGCGGGGAGGCGCTGGTGGAGGGCGGGGTGGCGGTGGTGGAGGGCGGGGTGGCGGTGGTGGAGGGCGGGGTGGCGGTGGTGGAGGGCGGGGTGGCGGTGGTGGAGGGCGGGGGGGTGGGCGGTGGTGGAGGGCGGGGTGGCGGTGGTGGAGGGCGGGGAGGCGGTAGTGGAGGGCGGGGTGGCGGTAGTGGAGGGCGGGGTGGCGGTAGTGGAGGGCGGGGTGGCGGTAGTGGAGGGCGGGGTGGCGGTAGTGGAGGGCGGGGAGGCGCTGGTGGAGGGCGGGGTGGAGGTAGTGGAGGGCGGGGAGGCGCTGGTGGAGGGCGGGGTGGCGGTAGTGGAGGGCGGGGTGGCGGTAGTGGAGGGCGGGGAGGCGCTGGTGGAGGGCGGGGAGGCGCTGGTGGAGGGCGGGGTGGCGGTGGTGGAGGGCGGGGAGGCGCTAGTGGAGGGCGGGGTGGCGGTAGTGGAGGGCGGGGTGGCGCTGGTGGAGGGCGGGGTGGCGGTAGTGGAGGGCGGGGTGGCGGTAGTGGAGGGCGGGGAGGCGGTAGTGGAGGGCGGGGAGGCGCTGGTGGAGGGCGGGGTGGCGGTAGTGGAGGGCGGGGTGGCGGTAGTGGAGGGCAGGGAGGCGCTGGTGGAGGGCGGGGAGGCGCTGGTGGAGGGCGGGGAGGCGCTGGTGGAGGGCGGGGTGGCGGTGGTGGAGGGCGGGGTGGCGGTAGTGGAGGGCGGGGTGGCGGTAGTGGAGGGCGGGGAGGCGCTGGTGGAGGGCGGGGAGGCGCTGGTGGAGGGCGGGAGGCGCTGGTGGAGGGCGGGGTGGCGGTAGTGGAGGGCGGGGTGGCGGTAGTGGAGGGCGGGAGGCGCTGGTGGAGGGCGGGGAGGCGGTGGTGGAGGGCGGGGTGGCGGTGGTGGAGGGCGGGGTGGCGGTGGTGGAGGGCGGGGAGGCGCTGGTGGAGGGCGGGAGGCGCTGGTGGAGGGCGGGGTGGCGGTAGTGGAGGGCGGGAGGCGCTGGTGGAGGGCGGGGAGGCGCTGGTGGAGGGCGGGGAGGCGCTAGTGGAGGGCGGCGATCTCAGCTCATGCTCTTGCAGCGCGTCCCAGTCCCTCCCCACATCTGTAGGGCAGTTCTTACCTCTTTGGTGGCTCAGACATGTCAGGCCACCTTTGTAAGTAGAGGTTGGATCCTCATTTTATAGAGGAAGAAACAGAGGCTCAGCATGGTCAAGTGACTGGCCCAAGGTCACACAGCTATTCACTGATCATTCACTCAACACATGTGAAGGGCTACTACGTGGCCGACACCACACTAACCCTGGGCCAGGACCCAGTGGACTGGGGTAGACAGAGGCCCACTCTCACGAGTGAAGGAACATCTTAGTGAGCTGTAGGCGCAAACAGATGAATGAGCCATGTCAGACAGTGAGTTTCTGTGAAACAGATGACACAGGTGGATGGGGCAGGTGTGGCTGGGGCGGGGCCAGGGCAGGCCTCCCTGAGGAGATGGCAGTTGTGCTGAGGCCTGAGTGACAGGAAGCAACCAGCTGCATAAAGAGTGCAATCACATGCCTTTCCCTAGATGTCAATGTCACAGTGGCACAAGTGGCTCCTGACAGGTCTCGCTGCCAATGCACCAGTAGTGGGGACAACCCACCCACCAGCTGGAGGGTTGGGTCATGAGAACTGGAGGACCAGACAAGGACCGGACACACCAACACAAAACCTAGTGAAGATGCCCATGGGCGTCCCCAGAGCTCCTGGCACGGCCGACGTCCCCCTTCTTGCCCACCTGCCAGGGACAAGCAGTGGCTTCCGGAGGCCAGGCCCCATCTGGTCTGATCAACCCTGTCCTGTGAGGGAACGAGATGTCCTCAAGGGGCAAGTGGACACAGGCAGCAGGCGGCGGGTGGGCTGGTCCTACCTGCCCTGGTCTCAGGGAAACTGGACGCCCTCCCCGCTGAGGCCGTAGGAGGGTCAAAGGCTGCAGCGGGCTCCAGTGGGCTCCTGGCATGGTGGGGGCCATCTGCCCACGTGTGAGGGGTGACCGGCCCTTGGCTGGGCAGCTTCTCCTGCCTGCCTTGGTTCTCCTTGTCCTGACCCCTGCCACTTCTTAAATCTCAAGCCGGCTCCTAGGCTCCCCCTTATCCCCCAAAGGGAACTGGAAGGCTGAGCAGTGCCCTCTCGCCCTCCTGAGGAAGGCTTAAGGGGACAGGGGACACACAGCCAGCAGGGCAGAGTCCTGCCCCCACACGCCAAGGGCACAGCAGGTGCTGGGAGAGCCCTGGGGCCATGGGGTAGACAGCGCCATTTGTGCTGGGACCACGCCCACAGTCTGTGCCGCAGACACTCATCTGCGAGATGGTGCACCCACTGCCTCCCGCCCAGGGTGCGAGGCTGCCACGGGGGCTCCAGGTAGTCAGGTCACCCTGGGGGACAGCTGAGGAGGCCAAGGGGGCTGGTCCTGAAAGGCAGTTCTGCCGGTGCCCCAAAGGAGAGAGAGGGGTCTGGAAGCCCACCACCCAGATGCTGAGCTTGGCTTTGTTCCTCAGCCAGTTTCGGTTTTAGTCAGCTGTCGAATAGGTTTCTTAAGTCCCCAAAACAAGAAGAGGCATTTTACGGTCTGGTGTTTATAGAATATCCTCCACCCAAACAAAACCTAAAAATAAAGCAAAGGAAGCCCCTGAACATCCGCTAACGTCCACTGTCCTGCGACCTGACGCTCTGACGGCCACACCACCAGCGGAGGGGCCACTGTGAGGGCCACCTGGAGGGATGCGACCAGCCAGCGCTTCCATAGGGCTGAGGCAGCAGCCCAGGGCCAGCCAGGAAGCCAGGTTCGCTTCCCAGCTCTGCCACCCCCACCCCGGCCTGGGGAGCTGGATTCAGGAGGCGACCTCCTCCCCTCCTCCCCGGGTCACGCAAGTTACACAAGACAGGAGTGACAGCACCATTAACACTATGACACAGAATGCCACCGTTTACTACTCCTTTACTGCGGTCAAAAGTGATTCTATTTCTAAAGACCAAACAGCATCACCAAGACATTCTTGGAAGAGAATTCCCTTTGTTCCCAAGCCTCAAATCTGCGTGCAGGGGAGAGATGGCTTCGCGAGGGGAGCGAGGGCTGTGCCGAGAAGCGCAATTCCTTGGCTCCTGCCAGGCTCCCCTATTCCGAGACCACAGACAGAGCAGGGCTTTGGAACTGACCTTTGACCTTTCAGAGTCCAAGCACACTGGAAGCCACACACAGTAACCAGTCCTTGGTGAGTTCCGTCCGGGGCCTCGTGGGGCAGGAGGCTGGGAGCTGGGGACAGGTGGCAGAATCCAGGGGCCTCAGGGACTGACAGGTCTGAGTTCCGCTCCACCTCAGCCCGTGACTTGGGCACACCTTGAGTCTCCTGGGCTTGCTTCTCCTGTGACCACAGGAGTGCGGTGCCCGCCCCCTAGAAGGCAGTGAGCACGCACGGAGTGGTGGAACCCAGGGCCTGGCTGCCCGAGTCTGCCCCGTGCCTGGAAATGCAGGGCACACTCGAGCCCTGACGACAGCATCGGGTCTCGAAGAACCACTTTCCACGCTCCCTCTCTCACAAGCCTGGCCTGACTCCAGTCCTGGATGTTACGGGCAGCAGGCAGAGACCGTCGTCAGTGCCAAGGTCACTGATCTTCGTGGCTCCCCACCTGTGGCCCTCCCCAGCTCCAGAAGGAAAACACAAGTGGAGTCAGCTCACCGATTCGGGGCCTTCCTCTCCTGGAGGAGCCTGACCAGAGCCACGGCCCCGCGTGGTCCGGGCATGTCTGCTCTCCTGCAACTCCAGCTCTGGGGGAGACGCCAGCCCAGCTCACCCTCTTTGGGGGACTCCAGGATCAGTGCTCCTTTTGGACCAGTTACCTCCAGTTCCTTTCCCCTGACCTGTCCCCTCTGCAGCCATCCCAGGCCCCCAACACTTCCCTGGTCTTCTTGAATGTTTACCACTGAAAACCTAAGCTGGCCCAGGGAGGAGCCCAGGGACGGGTGCAGTTTCGAAGGTGTAGACGTCACCGGGATTCACTCTGGAGGCTGGAGAAGCAAGCAGGAAACCACTGGCCAGTGGTGAGGGGCACGGGCACTAGCCACACGCACTTCCAGGGGGACAGGGTGGCGGGAAGGGGTGGCTTGAGAAAGCAGTGGCTGGCTGCTGGGCCTGTGACACGCAGGGTCACAGGAGAATCTCTGCACACCCTGCCCCACACGGGTGTGTAGGCCAGCCCAGCTTCTGCACTTGCATCTTTGTTCTGAGAAATAGCGATGGTCTCGGCTGAGGCTGCCCTAGGGAGTCCTCCAGCCCCTGAGCAGTGACAAGCATGTCCAAGGGGTCTGGTCTGCACGGCGCCCCCTGAGGATCCGCTCTACAGCGCGGAGAGCTGGCTGAGGGGACGGTGCAGGCTGAGGACTGGGCCCCTGCTGGCCCCACAGCACAGGCACCTGCTGGGGAAAGCCTATCCTGGCCCAGTGGTGGCCCCTGGCCTTCACACAAGGTCCTGCTTGAGCTGCACTCCCCCAGCCAGGGTTACGGTGCCGTCATCACGCTCTGCTCGCCATGGTCCACGCTCCAGAGGCGGTAAAACTCAGCAAAGTCCACATAGGGCTCAACACGGCCATCCTCACCGGGTGGGAGCGAGTGGGCGGGCCGGGAGCGGAAGAGGCCCCCGTCGGAGCTGGAGCTGCTGCTCTGGGTGTGCGTGTTGGTGGACTGCAAGGTCAGGGTCGGGCTCTGGCTACAGGAACAACAGGGGACAGTCAGTCAGGAGTGCTGGCTTCCAGCCTAGGGCTAGAGAGGCCTCTGCCTCAAACCACAGGCCTCTGTAACAAAGGTGACCAAAAGAGCCAGCCCAACCACATGTCCTTAAGGAGCAAATGAAAAGTCAAATGTGTTTTCCAAGCTCTAGCTACATGTGACTATTTAAATTAACTAGAATTAAAACGAGTCACTCTGCTCCAGTGCTCAGTAGCCACGCACAGCGAGTGGCTACTGTATGTGACCCGGGGCCTTCAGAGCGGCGCGGAGCTAGAGCCCACCCCGATCCAAACCCCACTGATCACAGGCCGGCAGGACTCTCCTCCCAGAAAACCTTCCTTCTTCCCTCCTGCCCTCCCAGTTCTCTCTCACTGGCTGGGGAGACAAGTCCCCCGTGTTCTCAGAGCTCCTTGGTGCCAGCCTCTGTTACAGACCATGTGACAGCTGGGAATTACCTGCTGGCCCACTGTCCCGCAAACTCCCAGCACTGCCCAGCACCCGGCTCCCGGCCAGCCCACAGTGGGGCCCAACTAATGTTTAATGCAAAACGGAGGGAAGGGGCTGTTCAGAGGCCCCCATGGAGTTAGGGGTGCAAAAGGATGCCTGGTTCTCCAGCCTGTCTGGGACCATGGCTATCATGCTCTGCGCCTTCACGGACACAGCTAGTGGCCCCCTCGGGCAGTCCTGCAGGGGTGGGAGGCCACCCCGACTGCATCAGGACGCCCACTGCTCAGCTGCCTGGCAGGCCCCTCCAGCCCTCAGTGGTGGTGGCGGCAGCAGCATGGGGGCAGGGAGAAGGAAAGGCCCCCTCTAGGCAGAGGGAAACAGCACCACTCCCTTCCTGATGGCCTTTCCAATTGGCCACATCCTCTGAGTGGGCTGGGAGTGGCATCTCTATTATTCTGTGCAGGGCTGGAATGTGGAAACCAGATCCTGGCCCCCTGGTGTGGTGGGAGGTGTGTGGGGTGCACATTCCACAGAGTGAAGGGGGTGGGGTGGACACCAGACCTGAAGGCAGGTCCGCAGTAAGGAAGGGGCCTGCCCACCCCACCTCAGGCTCCAGGCCCCCTGCTGCCTCTTCCCCTCCCCCTGCCTTAAACTAGAGAACTCACTTCAAAGCTAAATCAGACGTTTTAGTCAGAGAACACTGGCTCCGACACTCTAGCACAGGCCAAACGTCCCCCAAGCATGGAGGTCGCTGGGGAGGCCACCCTACATCACACACTTCAAAATGGGAAAGAGAGAATGGAGGAGAACCCTCTCATTCAGTGGAAACTCACATGGGCCTGGCAGGAAAATGTGACCAGCGGGCCGCCAACATCGGCTGCCAGCCTCAGCCACTCTGCCCCAGGAACCTGCCCTCCCAGGCCCACTTCAGCGCGATGCTGGAACCTGCAGCGCTGCCTCTTCCTGCCTCGGGTCCAGGAGGGTACCCCAGGAAGGGAGGCAGAGCATCTGAGAGGTACACCACCCCAGGGCGGCTCACTAAGATCACGCAGCTACAGGAAGTGCCCCTGGCATTCCTGTTCAGACACTGGGCTGTCCCAGGAGGCAGGCCTGAGAGCTGCTGGGGCTGGGGCGGGGCTTACTTGGTGAGGGTGGGAGTGGCTTCATCCAGGGTGGAAGCGCTGTGGGCCCCATTGACCAGCTGGCCCTGTGAGGGCATGACGAGGGAGAGGGTCACACTGGTCTTGCTGGTGCTCTGGGTGCTCGAGTATGGCACGGATACGGGGTACACGCGTCCTCCTGCAGCTTCGGAAGAGAGGGGTGGACACAGGGAGTGGCTGGCATGGTGGGAACAGGGTTGCTCCAGGGCCTGACGGGTGGTGTCTGAGGGCCGAGAGGAGAAGGCGGTGACCCGCCCTGGCTCCCCAAGCTGCAGCTTGGCCTCTGCCCCATGGGACAGGGGAGGGTCTAGTGGCAAAGATTTCCAGGTCAGGCAGGGGCTTGAGCTCAGCAGCATGGCACCGCTAGAGCTCAAAACAGGATAATCAAGTGCCAAGCTGCCCAATGAAAGGGTTACTGCCACCTGGCTCAGTGGCTGAGCATCCACCCGTACACCAAGAGGTCGCCGGTTCGATTCCCAATCAGGGCACATGCCCAGGTTGTGGGCCCGATCCCCAGTGGGGGGCATGCAGGAGGTGGCCAATCGATGTTCTCTCTATTCGATGTTCTCTCTCATCGATGTTTCTATCTCTCTCTCCCTCTCCCTTCCTCTCTCTGTCTAAAATTCAATAAAGGAAAAAAAAGTAGAGAGTAAAGCATGTTCCTCTCAGCCCAACATGGCCCAGGGACAGAGCCAGGCTTCACGGACCCTCTGTCCACATGCTTCGCCTCGCCTAAGTCCTTCTTCTCGAGCCTCCATTTCCGGCTCTGTGAGAGGGGGTGCTATCTTCCTGAGGGCTGTTAATGAGGACCACAGGAAACATTTGGGTCAAGTGCCAGGCACAGAGCAGGCCCTCAGTGCGGGAGCCAAGTCCCTATCATGCGCTGGGTGTCTCTTCAAGCATTTGCCCTCAGGTCATTACGAGGCAGCCAGGGCCCACGGCAATCCCTCCTTTCAGACAAAAAGGAGAAACACACAAAGGCAGCTCAGAGAGCTTGAAAGTCAGCCCATCTCGGCCACTCTGCACCCCACCCACGCCCTGCCAGGCGGCCTCCTCAGGGGGCTTCCTGTTCGCCCTGCACACTTACCTGGGGCCGGGGATGCTGTGGGCTGGCTCATTTCGCCCAGCGGGTAGCCAAAGTTCCTCACCAGCAAGGTCATGTCCTCGTGCTTTGGGCAGAACTTGGCACGCTCCCCACCACTGGCAAAGGTGTCACCATGGATACGCTTCACCCGGTCCACCACGGCCTGGGCCACCGCATCCAGGGAAGTCTGCTTGGCGAACTCAGTGTCGATCATGGCAGCGATCTCCTGGGGCAGAGGGGCAGAACCTGGTAAGGGACACGGGGCCCAGCCACTGTAGGCCATGACTCTTAGGGGTCACTGGTCAAGCAGCTGAAGGAAATCCCCACAAGCCACACCTGCAAGTTGAGCTTTTCAAGGTGTTCAGGATAATCCTTCTGGAACTTTCTCATTAGAAAAGGTGTGACCTTGTGAACTCTCTTATTGTTGGTTTCTACACCAATAGAATCGGGATAGACCCACCTCCCTGGGTTAGTATCAGGGTTAGATAACATAATGGTTTCGATGGCATCTGGGAACTGCTAAACAGCCCCATCAACTGTGGTTATGCTTTCTTTCCGGGAACAGGCTTATTATTGACTATGATATACCAATTTTGTCAGAAAATGGAGACACAGAGTAAAGACAGGGTCCCTGTCCTCAGAGAAGTCCACTGTCCAGTGTATGCTAGAACCCAGTAGAAGCCAATGGATAATTCTATTATGAAGACCAAAGAAAAGAAAAAACAAAATCACATTGATAAGATAAAACCACAAATCCTCTACGTGCTTGCTGGCCAGTCTCTTGGAGGTAGGGAGCAGGGTCAGATAACAGGAAACGACCTGGGGCCAGTCAGGGCGGGCTCAGCTCCCTCCCCGATGCCTAGGTCACCTCAGGTAAAACCCTGGACTCGGAGCCCCAGGCGCCTTGACTGGACGTGGCGGGGAGCTGCTGCCCTCATGTTCCAAGGCTGCCAGAAGGAGTGAGATAAAGCAGGTGAAAACCCTGAACACAGGTATCAGGAGACTTGCCCTCATCATCTTTTATTACAGCATGAAGCAAAAAGTTACCTTCCTATAAGACTTACATACGGGCCCTGGCCGGTTTTCTCAGTGGTTAGAGCGTTGGCCCATGGACCAGAGAGCCCTGGGTTCAGTTCCCGCTAAGGGCGCGTACCTTGGTTGCAGTTTGTCCCAGGCCCCCGTTGGGGTCATGTGGGTGGCAGCCACTCGTTGTGTCTCTCTCACATTGATGTTTCTCTCTCTCTCTTCCCCCTCTCTCTCCCCCTCCCGCTCTATCTGAAGATAAATGCAAAAAACAAAAAGACTCATAGTCAGAACTACGACCTGAACTATCTGACCAACCCAGCCGTCCAAGGTCAGGCAAAAGCAGCCACTCTTCAGAATCCTCTGTGAAGTGGCCGCTTCAGTGATGACTGTCTGACACGAGGTGTCCAAGGTGGGACCTAGCCCTCACCACAGCCCCACGAAGTGGACGTTGTCACCCCCTCTTAGAGACGAGCACAAACTGAAATGATCTGCAGCTCGGCGAGGGAGCGAAGGAAGGGTGGCGCCGGACCTGGACGTGGCCAGCCCACTCCCTGGCCAGTGCTCTGTGTGCGAGGCGACACCACTTCTGCGCTCTCCTCCTCGGCCCAGGCGTCTCTGGAGCCACGTGGGCCACGGCAGTTCCATCCGTCTCGCCCTCTCCCTTCGGGCGTTGCTCGGGCCCTGGGGGCGGACCCTGCCTCAAGCCCAGATAGAGCAGAGCTTGGGTAGGATGGGTATTCTTGGAGCTCTGGCGTTTTTCTTCCCCAGCTTTGAGCCCAGAGAAAATATCTAGCAACGGCATTTGAGGATCAGAGCTCTGGTCCCTGAGCACTTTAGTGCTGAGCAGGAGGGCTGGATGGGTCCCCAGGGGAACATGCCACCCTGAAGGCAGGCCAGCTGCGCTCTGCTTAGGCTCAGCTCACCTGGTTGGCCTGCCCAGGCCCGTGGGCTGCCTCCAGAGCCTTGTACAGCCCCTCAGACATCAGCACCAGGAAGCCAGTCACTCCGTCCAGGGGCTGTGTGCCGTGGATTTCAGGCTCCGCAATGATGGGCTTGGACTTGGCAGCGCTGGGGGAAGAGAAAGTTGGGGGACAGCTGTACTTGGAATGGCCCTCAAGGGATATTTATTTTGCTAAGGAAAAGAATCTACCCCAGAATGTAAAATAAAACACACATCTGACAAGGAGAAAAGAGAACCCAGAAAATCAGACTTGTCTTCGGACCATAGCTACTAAAATCACATTCTGAGGGTCAGAAAAGCTAGAGTGACTGGGCTCAGGATGGCAAAGGTCAAATGCCAATCCTGGCCCCACACTGCATCTCCTGTCCACAGAGCCTGGGCAATGCCAGGAGAAGGGCAGGCAACCCACTCCCCCTGGGCTCCTCCAAAGCAAGTGTCAAGCTGACAGGCCCCACTGACACTCTCGGCACAGGGGTCACTTCTGATGCACCGTCAGCGTCAGCAAGTTCCTGCATGTGTACGTGCACAGAGGCAACCAGATGACATTTCTGGCAACAGCACCTGGAAGAGTGGAGTCTGGAAACATCCCGAGGGTCCACTGGTAGGGGCCAGCAGGCGTGTGCTGACGCCTAACGAAAACAGTGAGGCACAGAACACTGGAAAGGGCATGCTCGGTTTAGTGGGTGTTTGAAAAGGATGCCCACCCCTGCCCCCCTCCCACCACACACACATTTAAGGGCACACACACAGGAACTTTGGGCAGGGTACACGAGGGACTAGCAGCTTTGCCTGGACAGCGTGGCTCAGTTGGTTGAGCATCATCCCATGTACCAGGAGGTCACAGGTTTGATTCCTGGTCAAGGCACATATCCAGGTTTCCCCATCAATGTTTCTCTCTCCTCAATGTTTCTTCTTTTTTTTTTTTTATCCTCACCCAAGGACATCCTTCCATTTTTTTGCACAGATAGAGTGGGAGGGAGAGAGATGAAGAAAGTGAGAGAGAGAGAGAGAGAGAGAGAAACATCGATGTGAAGGGACACATCGAGTGGCTGCCACCCGCACGACCAACCAGGGCCGGGGACAAACTGCAACCAAGGTACATGCCCTTAGCGGGAACCAAACCCGGGTCTCTCCGGACCGCAGGCCGATGCTCTAACTGCTGAGCCAAACCGGCCAGGGCTCCTCAATGTTTCTATCTCTCTCTCCCTCTCCCTTCCTCTCTCTGAAATCAATAAAACATACTAAAAAAGAAAAAAAAAAAAGAAACTAGCAGTTTCTGGGGAAGGAGTCCCGTCTTGGAAGTAGAAGAAATAAGTCTTTTGCACAGTATATCCTTGGCACTGTTTGAGTTGTTTTAAACCACATATGCACTTTGTTTCTTTCTTTGTTTTTAAATCCTCACCCAAGGACATTTTTGCATGTATCTTCAGGTAGAGTGGGAGGGAGAGAGGGGGGAAGAGAGAGAGAGAAACATCAATGTGAGAGAGACACATTGAGTGGTCGCCACCCATACAACCCCAACCAGGGCCAGGGACAAACTGCAACTGAGGTACGTGCCCGTAGCAGGAACCGAACCTGGGTCTCTCCGGTCCGCAGGCTGATGCTCTAACCACTGAGCAAAATCGACCAGGACCACATATGTACTTTCCAATAAAGCAACAGAACCCTACAAATTGGAGACAAAATGTTCCAAACTCAACTGCCTAAATCCTGAGAGTAAGGAGTTCTAGCTTGTGTTTCTGAGACATGACAAGGCCTGGCCACGATGGGCCGTGATTCCACCATGGTTCCGACTGTGACACTAAATGCCATGATGGCACACACACCCCTATTTTCCAATCAACATTAAGGACGTGCTCAGTTCAGGCTGCCTGGCTTCAAGCCCTGCCTCTGCCCACAGCTAGCCCTGGTACCCTCTAGAGAGACTACCTAAAGGCACCATGTCACAGTTTCCACATATGAAAATACCTTTGGGTAATAACAGTACCAACTCCTCGTGCCTGAGTGAGGACGGAACAAGAGGATGTGTGCATGGGCTGGCACAGTAAAGGCTCCCAGTTACTGGCACTGCCCATTTGCTTATGAGCACTGGGTGGCGACTGAAAGGGAGTGTCCCCTGGAGGGAAATGTACAACTTGTCTCGCACCTCCGCCCTGGCCCTAGCCATAACAGCACTGACCAGCAGGCCTTTGGTCTGTCCCTATCCACACCAGGAAGCCCAGGCTGACCTTGGCCTCTCCTGCTAGGCCCTGTGGCACCAGTAGCTGCCCTTGGCTTTAAGCCTTTGCCAACTTTGTTTTATAGGGCTCTGACTTCCGGGCCACACCAACCTCTCTGGAAGGAAGAGTCTCCTTGGGCTCTGAGCTACCTCAACTGCACCTCCTGTGCCTAGAGCCTAAGGGGAGGTGGGGAGGGGGCACAGCTGAGCCAGCCACCTACCTGAGTAGGTCGATGTCAGTGTAGCCATATTTGACCTTGTAATCCCCAATGCGCCTGGTGCTTTCCTGCCCACAGATGTTCCCCACTTGCTTGATCTTTCCTGCGTCCAAACCTATCAGGGAGAGAACAAAACGAGGCAGGCCTTGTTCATAATGAAGAACAAAGAGAAGGGGACAGATACACCCATGAAATAAGGCAGTGAGGACCCACGGAACAGAAAATAAAGTCACACCAGCATCCTAGAGAGTGGCTAACCCAATGCCCCACAGTGTCCTCAGTCCCCATCCCCATCCGCCAGAACACCCCCTCACTGGGAGCACTTCCTCCAAGATCCAGCAGATCCAGCACTGCCCAGTATTACTGCCTGCGGAGTGGGGAGGCTGCGGCAGTGGCTGAAATCCCAGGACCTCTTAAGCCTCCCGTCTCCACCAATAACAGTGAACATATGCCAGGTACTCCGGGGAGCATTTTACATGTGTTACCACTTTTAATCCTCACCACACCGAGGCGGGTGTTACTGTTATCTCATTGCACAGATGGGGAAATTGAGGCCCAGAAAACTTGAGTACGTTCCAAATATCACCAACTAGTAAGCAACAGGGTTGGAATGCAACCCCACAGGCAGGCTGGTCCCAGCCCATCCACCTCACACCTCTCTCCACATGACCACCAGAAGAGGGCAAGGATGAGCCGCAAGGGGTGCCCTCCCGTCTGACCCCTCGGCCCGGTCCCCACTCACCCAGCTGTGAGAGGCGGAAGAGCTCATCCTCATTCTCCGTGGTGTGGTCCACGTTCAGCTGTGTCACCTGCAGCCCGTCCACCGTGGACTTGCACAGAAGCGCACGGTTCGTACCTGCAGTGGAATTCGAGCAGCTGAGCAAAGACTGAGCATATGGAGGGAAAGGCCACGTTGAAGAGACAGAGGGGAAGGGGCAGGGGGAGGGGGAGGGGGAGGGAGGCAGTCATCTCACACATGGAAATCCTTGAAACCAGCTCAGACCCCTGGGCGAGTCAGCAGTCCGGGAGAGCTGCTGAGATTAAGGAATTGGGTTCAACTCTGCCAGTGCCATCCTAGGATGATTATGATGACGATTTTAATGAGGGATCGTTTGCTGGGGAAACACACTGAAATGTTTAGATACCAAGCCATGGTGTCTGGGGTCTGCCTCACGACAGTGCAGGGGCAAAGGCTGTAGATGAAATGAGACTGGCCATGAGGAGATGACTCTTGGGGCTGGGGAGAGGCACATCAGGGTTCATGAAATGCTAGCCACTCTATTTTTTTTTTACACTTTACAATTTTTCCCATGATGAAATCTTAAGGGAAGGAGGACGAGAAGAGGGATGTATCAGTGGGGTCTAGAGCTCCTACAGTAATCACCACCCTAGGGACACGGCCTCCTCAGGCTCCCAGGTGGCTTCCTCTCTGCCCACAAATCCCTCATGAAGTCCCCGTGACCCTCACCCTCTGGCCACATCCAGCCCTCCTCACCGCCCTCCACGGGATGTCAAGTGAGTCTTCCATAGTCGACCACCTCCTCCAGAAGAGGAAGCACTGAGGTGACTAAGACAGGGACACAACTCCCCAAAGGCCTTAAGCGTTGGGGGCAGCATGGGGACGAAAGCTGGGCTGCCTACATCCCAGCCTGGTACTTCCAACTCACCCCCTGGGGCTGAGACACTCCTGCATTGTACCAGGAAGCCCACCCCATGGCCTCGGCAGACTCGGGCTGGAGGTCCTACGTGTTGGAAAGCAGGCTGCCCAGAGAATGCACAGCCCAAAGCCGAGCCTCTCTCCCAGCCCGCCCTGCCCTGGGACAGGTGGCTCACCGACGTTGGCGACATAGAGCTTGTTGTTGAGAAGGACAGCCACAACAGCCATGGCCCCTCCTGAAGTCTCCCTCTCCAACACCTTGAGTCTTTCAAGGATCTTCTGATACTGAGGAGGCAGCTGGTGCTGGGGGATACCCTACAAGCCACCACTGGGGGTCAGAGCAGGCCGGGTCCTTGGAGACCACATCACCAAGCCCACCCCCTACAGAGCAGGGACTGGAGGCCAGGCCAGGACGGCAGCTGCACTTCCAGACAGGCCTCTCTAGGAAGGCCAGAGTGACCTCACTCGCCCCATAGTCTCTGAAAGTGCTGGTGGGTGATGTGAATGGGTAGGTGACAAGGCTGTGGACAGACTCAAGTCAAGGACTGACCTGAAAGGGCCTTTCCTCACCCCTTCACTGCCCGCCCCACGCTCGACCTGAGCAAAGCTGCCCACAGCAGCCAGGAGGCCGCTGGAGGGCACACCCATTGTCACCCACGCCCCCGTCTCGGACTGTTCCCCAACTCATGCTGCTCTAGCCCTACGGTGTCAATGGCTTAGGAGTGACATGGCAGAGGAGTCCTTGCTCTCGCAAAGCCAGCCTTGAAGTGCTCTTCCGGGGAGCAGGCCAGGCGGTCACCTCGGGCAGCTGGGACTGCAGGCTCGCCTTCTCGGCCAAAGCATCGTCGATGGACTCCAGGAAGCTCCTCTCTACCACGTCGAAGGCCTAGAGGCACAGAGAGGACAGGGACAGGAGTCAGGGCGGCTGGTTCAAAACACCACTGCTACCTGTTGCTGAAACGCCCCAGCAAACAGCGAAGGTGTGCTCAGTGTGGCTCATCGTGTGGTGGCCTCACGCGTGGCTCTGCGGAGCGACCAGAGGTAAGGTTAAAGCCGAGAGGCCAGGAGCACGGGCGGGAATCGGGCCGCCTGGGAGTGACTCCAGCCCTGCCGCTTGCCAGCTGGCAGCCCGGTCTCCTCACCTGTGAACAGAGGCAGGGGTTGCTCTGAGGGTGACTGAGCCCTCGGCACCTGGCTCAGAGCAAGTCCAGATCAATTTCAGCTGGTGTCACTGCCACATCCTGCTGGCCCCTGATCACTGGTCATGCTGCTGCCTTTCCTGGGGGGACCAGTGGGGAACCACGGGCACAGGGCCCTGAGGCTGGGGAGGGAGCTTGGGCCCTGGGGTGCTGAGGCAGGAAAGGGGCTGGGACGCTGTTTTCAATGAACAGAAATCCATCTTCCAAACTAAGTGCTCCAGATGCGCTGCTAAAAGGAGATGCAGGAAGAAAACCTCCAAAACAGCAGCAACAATGCAGATCTGGCGAAGGAGCACCACGCAACTGGAAGTGAGGAGGCGAGGCCCGGGGTGCTGGCGCAACCAAAGGCTGAGCACCTGTGTCACACCCGAAGGGAAGGGACCATCCTGAATCACCCCAAATCAGCACTCCCCACTATACCCTCTGCCCAAGGTTCCAGCCCTACTTCTCCGTTCCCCAGGACTACCTCCTCCAGAGCCAACCCTGCCAGTTGTGGGTAAGGACCACTGCCACGTGCTTGCTCCTAGACTCCCGGGAACTGGGGGGCCCCAGTCGCTGGGATAGGCTCCCAAAGCTGGGTCCTCTGCAGAAGAGGAGCGGGCCGTCTTCAGACCAGCCCAGGCTCACCCCACACTGTACAGTTCCTGGGGCACATGATCCGCCCGGTTTCGGTCAGCCAGTCCGAGCCCGTACCTGCAGCAGCACACGACGGACATCGGCCTCCGTGTGCTCAGAGTTGAGCTGGCCCAGCAGGAGCTCTGCAGACAGCCGCTGGGCCACGAAGTTGGTCACCCGGTTGCCATCATAGCCGTTGAAGACCCCGTACAGGAAGCAGTTGTTCTCACTTCTGACAGAGAGAGAGGACCAGGCGGCCTGAGACTAGGGCTCACGGAAGAATGACACCAGTTCCAGAGTAGAGGGGGAGGATGGACAAAATTGGGGGAAACCAAAGATACAACTGCTATGGCTCCAGGTGCCCACCTGGGTCCCCCACTCTGACCAACATTTTACTTGGCTGTGACCTTCTGGGATGCTCCCCACCCAACTGTAGCAAGTTCTAGGCTAGCCTGAGTCTAGATGTGGAAGGGCCAGTAGCAGACGCTCCCTCTCATGGGCCACATCTCACTGCAAGCCCCACGCGAGGCAGGTGCAAAGCTGTGCTGCTCCTTGTTTGCAAACCTGCTTCCAGTGCCCAGGAGACACTCCCACCTGAACTTGAGCCAGTTGTCCTCGGGCGGGTGGCTCTCAGTGCCCTTGCCATCAGCAGAGTAGCTTCGGTTGGACGCGGAGCCCACCCCAGACAGGTGGCAGAGTGGTAGGTCGTCTGTCCAGCTTGGCTGCTCCTGGGAAGGACACCGGGAAATTATGAAGTGTTACCTTCTCCTCCAGGGCAGACCCCACCTCACTTTTTCTTCCCCAACAAAAACCCAACAGGCCCAGAACCCCACTCAGAGGTTTCTACTACCTTCTGGAAAATAACGACACTTGTATGAACAGACACCTGCAGAAAGTCAACTAATCCACAAACCTGTCCCCCGATAAAGATCAGAGTTCCCAAATACAAGGCTCAGCAGTGGGTTCCAGGCGTGAGCTATGCTATGAAACGCGAATGAGACACACACACAATGAAACAAACTCTTTCGTGGCTCCTCACCCCTCATTGCAGTGGCTGATGCCAAAGCCCTGGGCACTGGTTAAAACTGCAGATTTCCAGGCCCCAGTCCCAGAATGTCTGTTCCTGGTGGGGCCCAGGGTATCTGCATCGTGGGCATCTCCTCCCAGGTGACTGAGAAACTGACTTACAAGCTGGCCTTAGTCACAAGCTATCTCTGGCTCTGGGGCCTCCTCTCCCCTCTGCTCCAGCACACCTTCTTCCCCTGTACCAAATGCTTGCAGTGCCCTGTCCATACCCCCTCTTTCCCTCCACGTTGGAACACCCTCCTTGTCCTTGTCTAGCAACTCCCCAGAGCCATGGAACTCGCACAGGAAGTCTTTCAGAGAGACCCTCCCAGGCTTGGGTGATAGCCCTCTTTTGTATTCCTACTACCTCTGTCTCCCTCACTCCATCCATCTGTGTCCGACTCCCATTCTACCCCATGGATCTCAAACCAGGCTACATAGCATAATCATGACAAAGCTTTACTTACACACACACACACACACACACACACCACCACCACCACCCCCAGACCCCAACCCAAACACAGATTTTGAATTTCCTAAATCTGCTTAGGATAAACTCTGAACACCTGCATTTTTTTAAGCCTCAGAAACGACAGACATGAGGCCCCCACTCGATCCCCATCTGAGAACCGTGTCTGGTTCCCAAGGGCATTCCAAGGACCAGTGTGTTGAACTGGAGCTAACAAACACAACTGGGAGAATCCAAGTTCAACTGCAAGGAGAATAAAAGCTGGACTGAAAGCTTCACTGAAATTTTAAATAAGCATGAGCACTGTGCACAACTTCTTACCAGTTAGCACTAAATCTTCAAAATAGGATGTGCGAACCACTTCAATAGGCTTTTGCAATCAGACATGTCAGAAGCTTTTGTGACCAATTTTATTTTCTGTTTATTTACGTATCGACAGGGAGTGACTTTATGGCTTTTCCTTCACTTTGATTGCTTCAATGCTGGCACTTCAGTTCTGTGCTTTGCACCCCGGAGCAACTGCTGTAGGGTGTGGGAGTTTGCTTTTACTTTTAAACTAACATCTAATAAAATGGACTTTTTTGGGTGTGCAGGTCAATGAACTTTAACACATGTAGAGATTTGTGTAACTCCTGCCACAATCAAGATACAGAACAGCCCCATCATCCCAAGCCTGCTCCTTGGTAGCCACACCCTCCCCAGACCTCCAGCAACCACTGACTTTATCCTTTCTTTTTACTGAGATAACACACAACATAAAATTTACCATCATAAGTGTACAGTTAGTTCTGTGGTATTAAGTACAATCACGTGTTGTGCAACCATCACCACCATCCATCCACATAAGTCTTTTCATCATCCCAGAATGAACCGCTACACCCAGTGGACACTAACGCCCCATCCCACCCTCCCTTTAGCCCCTGGTAACTACCACTATACTCTAGGTCTCTAAATACATAACCTTTGAGACTGGCTTCTTCCACTCAGCATGGATCCAAGCTGTCGCCTGCATCAACGGTTTGTCCCTTTTTACGGCAGAGCAGTATTCCATCAGACGGATGTAGCACACCTGATCCCCTCCCCCACTGGACATCTGGGCTGTCTCTCACTTTTAGCAATTACACGAGAGCTGCTATAGATTCCTGGGCAGGATTTTGTGTGAACAGAGGTTTCGTTTCTCCGGGGTAAATGTCGAGGAGACTGCTGCTTAACTTTTTCAGAAACTGCTAACTGTTTGAGTGGCGTACCGTTTGCATTCCCACCAGCAATGCGAGTTTCAGCTGCTCCACATCCTCACTACCACGTGGTATTCATTTTCTTCTTTTATTGAATTTAGACATTGGAAGAGGTATGTGGTATCTCATTATGGCTTTAATTTGCACTTCCCTATTGGCAATGATGACACTGAGCATCATTCACGTACTCATTTGTCATCCACATACCTTCTTTGGTTAAGTATCTAAGTCTTATGTCCATTTTTAAACTGGGTTGTTTGTTTTCTTAACTGTTGAGTTTTGAGAGTTATTTTATTTTTAATTTTTATCCTCACCCAAGGACATTTTTGCATTTATTTTCAGATAGAGCAGGAGGGAGAGAGGGAAAAAGAAAGAGAGAAACACTGACGTGAGAGAGACACATTGAGTGGCTGCCACCCGCATGACGGGGACAAACTGCAACCGAGGTATGTGCCCTTAGCGGGAACCAAACCCGGGACTCTCCCATCCGCGGGCTGACACTCTAACCACTGAGCCAAACTGGCCAGGGGGAGAGTTCTTTATATATTTTGGATACAAGTCCTTTGTTGGCTATGTGGTTGGCAAATATTTTCCCCAGTCTGTAGCTTGTCATTTCGTTCACTTATTAGTGTCTTTTGAAGAGCAGGAGCTTTTAATTTTGATAAAATCCATTTAATCAATTTTCTTCTTTCATGGTTCCTGCTTTGGGTGCCATGTGTACAAACTCTTTGTCCAGATCCAAGTCACAGAGATCGTCTATGAGTTTTCTTCTAAGAGTTGTATAGTTTTACATTTAGACCTGTGATCCATTTAAAGTTAATTTCTGTATAAAGAAGGTTTACGTCAATGGCATATGGTATTCAACTGTTCCAACACCATTTGTTGAAAATACTATTCTTTCTCCATTAAATTACCTTTGTACCTTTGGCAAAAATTAACATCCTTAGCATAGTTTTGAATCTCATCCTTTGACAAATTAACAACAATCTCACAAAACGACCTATCTTGTACAGATTAGGCCTTCTATACAGTGTTTCAAATGATTTCTAAAAAACTGTGACCACAGTGAAAAGCATGGCAGTTAACCCACTTCCGGCAGGAGGTATGTGCACCAAACACAGGACAGAAGTAACACCTCAACCGAAGTTTGCTCTACTTGAAAAGCCAGAGGTATTTCGGGGCCTCAAATACATTTGGCCATACTTGTGAGGATCAGGTCAAACTACAGCAAAAGAAAAACTGCTTCACAGTAACACAAAATTGTTTCTAGCTCTAATCGTGACTGTTACATTTTAAAGCAATATAAATGTCTTTTTAAAAATAAATGTGAAGTTAAGCCTTTGTACCCCACATATGACATTGTGAGATTAGAGTATATTCAATTAATACATACATTCATTCAACAAATATTTACTGAACATTCACAACAGGCTGCCATTATTTTAGGTACTGGGGACAGAGTAGAGGAAACAACACAGGGTCCTTGTCTGAAGCCTCCTTTCTAGGGAGAAAGACCTCAAACACGTAACACAGCTAACAGACAAGGCAATTTTAGACGGGGGTGTGCTGCAGAGAAAGACACCAGGGTGACGGGACAGAGAATGGAAGTGAGGGCTCTTCCAGACAAGGAGGTCAGAAGGGGCCTCTCTGGGGAGTTGACCTCTGAGCCAGACCTGAATCATGGAGCAGTAGCCACTTCAGAAAGTGGGGAAATAATCTTCCAGGCAGAGGGAACAGCACATGCAAAGATCCTGAGGAAGCCATGGCCAATTTGGCTGCAGACCAAAGAGTCCCGGGTTCGATTCCGGCCAAGGGCACGTACCTGGGTTGTGATTCTCCCCAGTCCTGGTTGGGGTTGTGCGGGAGGCAGCCACTCAATGTGTCCCTTTCACATCGATGTCTCTCTCTCTTCCTCTCTCCCCCGCCCACTCTATCTGAACAAAAACTGGAAAAAAGTCCTTGGGTGAGGATAAAAGAGAAAGATCCTGAGGAAGCAGAGCAAGTGTGTCAGGTGTAAGGAAGTGAGCGAAGGCCCGCACGGCCTCCGCGGTAAGCAGGGGAAGTGACCTGTGACTGTGTTCACACACGCATGCACATGTGCGCAGGTGGCGACAGTGTAAGGCTTTCTCGGCCATGGAAAAAAGTTCACTGCCACGGAATCCATTACTTTTCAAGGAACTGATCTGTTGTCAAGTATCACCTAGATCTTGGATCTGATTAGTATACCTCCATCACCAGGGACCTCACAAATGTCTCAGTCAACCTGGCAAATACATTTCCAAAAGCTCCTTTTTCTAGGATCTGTCTCCTGTTCCAACTGGAATGAAATTAAGTGTGAGATTAGGCAGAAGCACAGAAGCAACTCCGTAATCAGGAGAGTCCTGTGTCCTCCTCCTGAAAAGATGGTCCAGGAAGCCAGTATTCAGCACCCCAGAAGTGCTCCAGCTGTTTTAAAGCATGGGGGGAGAAGACATTTATACTTTCTAGACTCCTGTCTGTGATTGAAAATGAGAGTAAGATGGATTGAATGCATCCTCTAAGGAGCTAACAATACAAACGTGTTACCCACGAGGTAAAACCCGTCATCAGTGCTGCGATCACCGGGCTTCCTCCGCCATTATCCAACACCCACAAGGGACAGGGACAGGCTTCCAGGACTTGAATCTTTCCAACAAAGTTATACTTCTTAGAAAAGTAAATATTATCTAAGCAACTTACGGGCTCACTTGACATTTAGGGATACACTATAAGAGCCTGGTGAATTAGTCTTTTACAAGAAAGGAAACAAACTCAAATGACTGACTAAGAAACATGCCATGTCAGTGTTTGGTGACACAGGTACAATTCATCTAAAAGCATTTCATGAAGGATATCCATAATGTTGTTATCAGGAGTGGGCTGGCACTGTACTGACTGCTGCTGACATACTCAGGTGACATGGGAATAACAAACTCTCCCAAATTAGAAAAACTGTGTATCTGACAGTGGTCCGTCTACTTAAAAGGTGCCTTGTTCTGCAGAAATTATGACTAGTGTCTGGATACTTCTACAATGTTAAGTGTCTTTTTATTTTCCTAAATCTGATTTTCATACTGTTGAGCCAGTAATATTTTGGTAATGTTTTATTAGCTAACAACTGGTATTTGGGTCCATGGATATGGACTCCAGTGCTACTGTTTATTTAAGGATGGTCTTGTCCATTCCTGATTTTAAAAAGCCTCAAGAAAACAGTAATTAATGTGTACTTCCTTGACATGCCATTTTATATATATATATATATTTTTCAGTCAGTCTTAATGCTAGCACCTTAGTTAGTGGGGAAGCACAAGAGGCACGCTCATTAAGATCAGGAGCAGTGCCCTGGCCAGTTTGGCTCAGCGGTTAGAGCGTCTGCCTGCGGTCCGGAGAGACCCGGGTTCGGTTCCCGCTAAGGGCACGTACTTCGGTTGCAGTTTGTCCCCGGCCCTGGTTGGTCGTGCGGGTAGCAGCCACTCGATGTGTCCCTTCACATCGATGTTTCTCTCTCTCTCTCCCTTCCTCTCTCTCCCTCCCACTCTATCTGTACAAAAAATGGAAAAATATCCTCGGGTGAGGATTAAAAAAAAAAAAAGATCAGGAGCAGCAAGAATGCCCACTATCTCCATTACTTAACACTGAATTGACAATGTTAGCCCATGCAATTAGATAAGAGAAAAGAGCATAAGAATCTATTTGCAGTTGATATAATAGTACCTGAAAACTCTACAGAATTAATGATGAAACTAACTCAAAAGAAATCAGAAAGATGGCAAGCCATCTTTTCAAAGTCTGTGTGGCTCAGTGGTTGAGAATCGACTCATGCACCAAGAGGTTGCCGGTTCAACTCTCAATCAGAGCACATGCCCAGGTTGTGGGCAAAATCCCCAGTGGGGGGCATGCAGGAGGAGGCTCTCTCATCGATGTTTCTCTCTCTCTCCCTCTCCCTTCCTCTAAAGGGAGTATCCTTTAAAAATCAATAAAGAGAAAAAATGTTTTTAGAAAAAGATGGGCAGTCCTGGCCAGTGTGGCTGTGGTTAGAGTGTCAGCCTGCACGCTGAAGGGCTGCGGGTTTGACTCCTGGTCAAGAGCATGTACCTGGGTTGCAGGCTCAATCCCCAGCCATGGTTGGTGCGTACAGGAGGCAACCAATCAATGTTGATGTCTGTCTGTCTTTCTCTTTCCCTCCCTCTCTTCCATTCTCTCTAAAAATCAATGGAAAAAATATCCTCAGGTGAGGATTAACAAAAGAATAGAAGAGATGGGCATACAGACTCCATGTTATAATTCCTACTTGCTGTCAACTAAGTTCAATCAAGTCAGTCTCTCCCAATCACTCCAGTAGAGGATTTTTAAAACCTAAATTTATACGTTAATGTTTTCATCCCAGTCTTCCAGCCTGTTGACAGTTCTGAATCTCACCCTTTGACAGATTAACAATTTCACTCAGCTGTCTATCTTGTACAGACAAGTGATTCTACACAGTGTTTCAAATGATTTCTAAAAAACTGTGACCAGAACAAAAAGTATGGAAAGCTAACCCACTTCTGGAAGGTGTCCACACCAAACACAGAATGGAAGTAATACTTCAACCAAAGCTTTGCTCTACTTGAAAAGCCATTTGTATTTTGGGGCCTCAAATGAAGAGGCTCCAGACCCTAAGAGGTGCAGTCACAGAAACAAGCACACACTTTAAAACAAACCAACTCTTTCTACAGATGAACCCTGCTGAGCAAAACTCTGCTTATTTCACATTGGCACTTTTTTTTTTTTTTTTAATCCTCACCCGAGGACATCTTTCCACCTTTTGTTCAGATAGAGTGGGAGGGAGAGAGAGAGAGGGAAACATCAACGTGAAAGGGACACATCGAGTGGTTGCCACCCGCACGACCCAACCAGGGCCGGGAACAAACTGCAACTGAGGCACGTGCCCCCAGCAGGAACCAAACCCAGGTCTCTCTGGACCGCAGGCCGACGCTCTAACCGCTGAGCCAAACCGGCCAGGGCTCACATTGGCATTCTTTAAGCATTAAGTTCCTAGCCAATCTGGCCTGCTATCAACATAAAGAAATAAGAAAAAATTACCCACAGAGCACATTTAAAAGTATCCATGGCGAGGCGCCTTAAGGCCTCCCTCCTCTTTTGTCTCTCCAAGTCCTACCCACCCACAAAGGTCAAATCCAGAGACCCGTGTTTCCCAAACTTCAACCATCCACTCACCATCTTCAAGAAATTATCCACTTCATATTTTTTGTTTAAACTGCCACATTTTCTTTTACTCAAATGATTTCATTTCGAATGCAAACTTTTTCAGGATTATAAATGGAAAACCAGTGTTACTTGCCATATCTTGAAGATAATAAAAGATGAAAACAAAACAAGGTTATTAAATTCTAGTTGAACCTATTGCCTGCTGTAGATTTTGAGCTGGACCCCTGTTCTCTGTCAACAAAGAAGAGAGATTAGCAAGAATCAGCAAGGGGTTAGGGACATACTAGGAGCAAACCAAGTCTTCCCCTTGATATATCATCAGCGAGTTTGAAAGAAAACTGAAAATCAAATAACCTCTTCAATATGTGATGATGAGTTTTATACCGGCACACACCAAACCACCTCACTGTAAGGGTCCCAGACTCTGGGAAGATACTGCCCAAGACCACGGGCCCCTTTCCTGAGAAATCCAGCACTGTGGCCTCATCCTGCACACGGGGCACCCCACTCTGGCCCTTAACCATTTGGCTTTGTGGCAACTCCCATGCTATAATCTGGTATTGTTGATTAGCCATGGCTGATTCTATTACAACGCACCAGACTCCAAGTCTCTTGCTTCCTTCCTCCATATTTCTGAAAAATTTTTGGAAAGGTCATGGATTTTCTATTCACACAAACCACCCACCTCTCCACCCCAGCACACACTGATGCATACTTTCTCCTACGCCCCAAATGCCAGGCTCACCAGCACCAGCAGCAAGGGGCACTTCTACACCCAGCATGTGGGTGGGCTGGGAAGCTGAGAAGGGGGTGTCTCACGCTCACATAGCCTCGTCACAGAGCTGAGTAAATATGCACAGCAGTGAGCATGGACCACTTTATCTTTGATGGCTTGCAAATTACTGCCTCACAGAAATTTAACAGAAAGTATGGTAAGAAAGAATGCTGTTTCAAAAAGCCTAATTTTGCCCTGGCCGGTTTGGCTCAGCGGTTAGAGTGTCAGCCCGCAGACCAGAGTCCCGGGTTCAGTTCCTGCTAAGGGCACGTACCTCAGTTGGTTTGTCCCTGGCCCCAGTTGGGGTCATGTGGGTGTCAAACACTCGATGTGTCTCTCTCACATCGATGTTTCTCTCTGTCTCTTCCTCCCTCTCTCCCTCACGCTCAACTTAAAGATAAATGCAAAAATGTCCTTGAGTGAGAATTGAAAAAAAAAAAGCCTAATTTTAACCTGATTGTGCGAAGGAGTTTCCAAGATTCATATATTGGTATGAAACGTTTCTATAGTGATCTAACTGTATTTAACCTGTAAAGGGAGTTATATATACCTTATGTACCTATATGTAACTATCAGCTCCTCATATACATATGTGAACACAACACATAAAAATAGTCCGTTACAGCCCTGGCCGGTTTGGCTCAGCGGTTAGAGTGTCGGCCTGCGGTCCGGAGAGACCCGGGTTTGGTTCCCGCTGAGGGCACGTACCTCAGTTGCAGTTTGTCCCCAGCCATAGTTGGGTCGTGTGGGTGGCAACCACTTGATGTGTCCCTTTCACGTTGATGTTTCTCTCTCTCTCTCTCCCTCCCACTCTATCTGAACAAAATATCGAAAAATGTCCTCGGGTGAGGATAAAAAAAATAATAATAATAAGGAAAAAAAAATAGTCCATTACAGCCTGGGCCAGTGTAGCTCAGTTGATTGAGCATCATCACATCAACCCAGAGGTCACTGGTTCGATTCCTGGTCAGGGCACATGCCCAGGGTTGCGGGCTCGATCCCCAGTGGGGGTCATGCAGGAGGCAGGCGATGGATGTTTCTCTCTCATCAATGTTTCCCTATCCCTCTACCATCCTCCTGCACTCTCTAAACTCAATAAAAATGTATTTTAAAAAATGGTTTATTACAGCCCTGGCCAGGTAGCTCATTTGTTTAGAGCATCGTCCTGATACGCCAAGGTTGCAGGTTTGATCCTAGTCAGGGCACATGCAAGAATCAACCAATGAATGCAGAAACAGGTGGAACAACAAATCGACGTTTCTCTCTCTCCCTTTCTCTCTCTAAAATCAATTAAAAAAAACAAAAAACAAAGTCCTTTACAGTCCCCACAGAGATTCATCTCAAACTCCTGGGCAGCAGGAGTGGACAAAGCACAGTTCCAAGTTCAGGCCACAGCTTGAATATCAAATTATAGTATGAAAAGGCCGAGTGTTTTTGTGGTGAAAGCACCCAAATTCCTTAGAGGCAAAGAGGAAGCTCAGAAAGGGAGATTAATGCCCCCAGGAAGATGGCTCAGGGTGGGGGCAGCAGTTCTTTCTCTCCAAAAAGCTTGAAACACCCGATGCCTGCCACCATCACTATCTTTCTGAATGACCTCCTTTTCCTTCCCCACTTCTCTGGGACCAACTCCACTCTAGTGCCCCCACCTCTCTCACCAGGGTTTTCATCAAAGGTTCTCTATGTTTTAATCACAAATATAGTCCTAATACACTCTTAAAGGGGCTACTAATCATTGTGGAGCACTTACTGTGGGCCAGAGCAGCTGGACCACATTCTGCCAGCATATGATGGCTGTAGGTGAAGGTCTAATGGATGTTTGTATTTTAATGGGTATACATTTATTTTAATGTTCATTAGAAAAATGTGTAGCTAGCACCTGTGACTGTATAGATATAATTGCTTGGGACATGTCTAAGTTAAAAAATTTGATTTCAAGTTGATTACTTTTTTATAATTAATAATAGTATAGGCAAAATCACACTCTTGATTCTCCCAGTGTCCTCCTGGATTTCCCAAAATACAGCCAAAACCCAGTACTTCTCACCACTCCTCTGCCATCGCTCTGGCCAAGCCTCTGTCATCTCACATCTGGACAACTGAGTACCACTCAGCAGGTCCCAAGCTTCTACTCTTGCCACTTACGCACTTCTCAATGAAGGGCTTTCTCCAATCACAAATCAGACCACATCATGCCCCTACTCAAAACCAGACGAGAATTTCACGTCACACTTAGAAAAGAATCCAAAGTCCACCTGAGGATCTATAAGGTTCCCTTGAACCCCGGCTACTACCACTCCCCAACGTACTCCATTCCAGCCTCACTGGCCCCCTTGATGCTCCCCAAGGAGCATCTCGTTTCCTCAGGCAGGAATACTCCCTCCCATATCCCTCACTTCGTCACACAAATACCAAGAGGTCTTCCCCTACCACTTGGTGTGAAATGGCCCCTCCACCATCCTGTGTGTGAATCCAGACTATTGTTCCTCATAACACCACCTGATGTTATGTTACAGATATCACTATATCTGTAGAGTTCACTGTTTAATGTCTCTCTTCCTAGAACAGAACACAAGCTTCATGAAGGCAGTGTCCCCTGCACCTACATGGTGCCTGCCACACAGTGAGTGCTCAGTGACATTGGGGGAATGAACCGCAGGTACTCAGGGCAGAACTGAAGGTGGAACTTCACAGCTGCAGTGACCATGCCCGGTTAGGAGTGTAACATGGTAATTCATTTGATACTAACAACACTTCTGGAAGTCCTCTGGGATGGGGAAACCAAGGTTCAGGAATGTTAAGTGACTTGCCCAAGGTCACACAAGATTCATACTCTGTTTTCTTTTGCTTCTAGGTTCTTTTGAATACATCAAGCTATTTTCGAAAGCTCTTCTTTTTTTTCCAGAAGATCTTTGAAAGTACCACAATGCCTGGGGAAGAGAGAAGAAACTCCTCGGGATGTCATTCCACTAAGTACTCTGCCATCTGGCCCCAGCACACCCTTCCGGCACCACGTCAGCAATTCCCCAGCTCTTCCTGCAAGCCTCCACTGGTCCTGTCAAATCAAGCCATCCACAGCGGCTCAACACACTGACACTAGAGTAACTTACACACTGTGTTAGTGGTATATGGCTCCCTCTCTCAAGCTGGTCTGCGAATGTAGTGAGGGCGAGCAAATGCCTTATTCATCTTCATATCCTCAGGCCCAGACGAGCAGCCCTCACAGCCATTTGCTGAATGATGGTGTTTGAGCTGCTCTCAACAGACTCAGGACAGTGGAGGGCAGGACAGCAAACCCCACACACCACCTGCACACCACCACCACTCAGACACCCTGTGAGCAGAAATCATTAGGGTAGAAGGGGGCTTGTGCAGACACACCTGGCATCCCTTTGCCTTTCATCACTATGCTATGTGCTTAAAGCTAACTACCCTATCTTTCAAAGACTCCACCACCACCCAGGAACACCTTCTGGAGCTGGTAAAGCTCACCTTCTGTCTAACCTGAGTCCCTTGGGCTCCATCAAATCTAGAGGAAAGGGCAGCTGGCAGCCAGTCTCCTCAGCAAGCCAAGTCGGCCTACAGCGGTTATCACTTTCAACATTTTCAACATTTTCGGCATTTGCTGCAATCCAGCCAGTGTTTCTGGAATGTTTATTACAATGGGGACATTTACACGGCCCTCTGGGAGCTTTCAAAGCAGAGAGTCAGTTCTACCTAACTAACTCAATGACAAGACCGATCTGCCAAGTAGTGGTTAAAAAAAAAAAAAAATGGGGACAGCCAAAGGTGTGGAGGGGAAGAGATCTACACTCTCCTTCCAATTGGCAATTGCTGTCCTGGAAGAGGAATTTCAGTCTACACAAAGCCTGTCATTAATATGCAGCAGTAAAGGTTGCCCCCCACACTCCAGTTCTGATGCTTCAAGTCCCTCAAGGGCAGGAGGGCCAATGCTGAGCACTGGACCTGGCTACAAATGCTTTACTTATTATTTTACAAATAGTTATTGAATGCCTGGCACCTAGCGGTGGTAGGTACTAGTGCACTATTCATTGCAAACCACAAGTCCCTGTCTACTCCCAGTGCAGGAGACAGGCAAGTCCGCAGGCAATTACAGCAGGCTGCTATGTCTGGGGAGGACCCAAGGGAGAGGCACCGTGCCTGGGCAGGTAAGAATAGGCCCAAGGTGCCATCATGTGTGTACATCTCTATCTATATGCACATATGTCAGGAAGATGCAGGGGCTGGAAGACACTAGCAACAAACCCATGAGGGTCCAGAAGACAGGTAGGGACGAGTTCCAAGAAAATCCTCCCACTGCCTGCTCTCACCTTATAGATAAGGAAACTGAGGTCGATTGAGGCACAGTGAGTTACAACCAGGACCAGGACCCAGGCTGCCCGACTGCAGCCATGTCTTTGGTATAGGTTACAGGTTAAAAGGAATGACTGCCTGATTTTCACTCTGCCTCTGCCACTTAGCCAGCTGTGTGGCCTTGGGCAAATGATGCCTCTCCGTGCCTCAGTTTCATCTGTAAAACAGGGATAATCACAGTACCCACTTATGGGACTGTCATGAAAATTAAACTTACACATGTAAAGGAACTGGCAAAAAGCCTGGGATGCAGTAAGCGGCACAGAGTGGCTGCTGTTGCTATGATTATTATCCCACGACCGCTCAGTGTCACGGGTGGGCTCACCACCGCTGCTCTCCCCGCAGCCGTGCACCACATTCCCTTCCGGCTCTAGAACTCTTCCAGCCCCGGCGTGCGCTTGACGCTCGGGGAGTGCAGGACCGGGAATCCGAGCCCCGGACGCCCAGGCCCGCAGCGCGCAGGCGCCCCGTCCTGGGAATGGGGCGGGCCGGCCCGGGAGAGGGGAGGGCGGAGGTCGCACCCTGCAGGGAGAGGTAGGCGGCCCAAGGCTAGGAGAGAACCGCGCCTGCACCAGACGGTCCCCCCGACCCCCCCGGACTCCCAACCCCCGGCCCGGAGAGCGGGTCGGTTCCTCACACTCTGCAGCAGGCTCCTCCTCTGCGCCGCCATCTTGGAGGGACCCCGCGGGCGCGCCCGCCTCCTGACAGAGTAGGCGAGAAAGGCGGCTAGAGAGGCCTGAAGCCGGCCCGGAGCACCGCGCTGCCAGGGAGCATGCGCACTCAGTGCCACCCAGCGGCCGAAGTGGGACAGGGCCGTAGCGGAGCGTGTGCGCATGCGCGCTCTTCCACCTGGACGATAGAAACTTCCTTATGAGATTAGCCTTCGCCAATCTTCATTTGCGCTCATTCTCCTGTATGCTTTTCAGGTGGGGCCCCAAAGCTCCGGATTAGCGTTCTTTATGAACACGATGGGGATGGCAGAGGGTGAACTGTTCATTTACTCAATAAGTAGTCATTGGGTGACCGTGCCTGACCATTTAGGGGTGAAGCAGCATGCAAGACAGTCACTCAAAAAGCTGACGTTTTCATTGGGGAAGACAATATTTACATACGTCTGTCTTTCAAGTGGTGCTGAATGCTAGGAAGAGAAGTTTAGGGATGTGGCATGGGGCTGTAGTGTTGACTGGCAACGGGAAAGGGAAGGCCAGGCCCAGTGGAAGGGACAGCGAGTAGGTTCTGGAAGCAGGCGCGTTACAGAAGGCCGCTGTGGCTGGAACAGAGGGGGAGGGGGAGTGAGATGAGGGGGAGTCACACCGCAGGCTCTGACCTTGTGGGACCCATGCAGGAGCAGGGCTATTTATCTGCAAGACAGTGGGAAGTGGACTTCTGAGCAAGCAATTGATGTGATCCCATTGGTAGAAAAGTCCCTTTCACTACTGTGTACAAAAAAAAAGATTTTTAGGGGGATTGGAGTAGAGACAGGAAGACCAAATAGGGGACTGTTGTACAAGTTCTACGTGAAAGATCACAGTGGTGTGAGTGGGCTGATGGCAGTGAATCAGTGAATGGACTTTATTTAGAAGATGAAATCGTCAGGGCTTGAGCAAGGATTGGTTGTGGGTGGTGATGGGAAGAGATGTGGCAAAGATTCTTTCAGATTCTTGGCAAGAACAACTAGATTTCGGGAGAACGACTATGAGTTCAGTTTGGACATGTTGAGTTTGAGGTGCTTTTGAGACATGCAATAAAGAAGTTGAGTCAGTCCTTAGATGGAGAGAACGAGGGCTCAGAGTAGAGGCTAAACTGGCAAAGGTGACAGAATGAGCAGCTGTCAAGGCAGGCGGAGCAGAGGCAGTGCAGACCCCAAGGTGAGGAGTGTTTAAGGAGGATGTGGGCAACCATGTGAGATGCTTTTGAGAGGTCTAGTTAGAAAATAACTGAAGAAAGTCCATTAGATGTAGCTGTCTAATTGCCCAAGCAATTCAGGTAGAATGGTAGGACCGATACCCACATGCAGTGAGTTGAGGAATGACTGGGAAATGGAGGTATGCAGACCTTGAGAATAGGCGGTTCCTCCCAACTGGTGGAGTGAGACGGGACTGAGGGAACATGGGACTGAGGAAGGGTTTTTCGTTAAGGTTGGGAGAAACTTGAGCCTGTTTAAATGCTGAAGAAAAGGCTTAATAGAGAAGAGCTGATGATTTAGAAGGGGGAAGGAGAAAGCAGTCAGACTGGGATGGTGACTCACCATCTTGCTCTTGTTACTAAACTAAAGGGGTTCCTTCTCCTGTGAGCATCAAAGCCAATCAAGAGTGAACAGGAGTTTTCACCAAAGAAAGTAAACGTTTATTTTAAGGAAATGGTGACAAACCCAGAATCATAGGTGAGCTATTAGCTCCAAAGATCTGGTTTCTAGGGAATGGGTTATATAGGGGGAAAATCATTAATCATGGAGGAGTTAGGTCACAGTCTCTATCGATTGGTCAGTGCTCAGGTAGGGGTGGTTGATCACTGTATCTGGTCCTGATGTCAGCCATGGCATAACTCTGTGTGGTTTTGCAAGGCTGTGGTCAGTGGAGTCATTCTGCTTTTCTAGATCTGAGTCTGAAACACAACTGAGGCCTAGATGTTATCTCTAGTTTGACTGAAACTCTGTCTCTGTGGTCAAAAGATCCAAGGCTTTGTTCCTAAGATCATCTGATGCTCACCAGAACCTCGTTGCCTGAGGGCTTAATGATTAAGAGAGTGGACATGCAAGGGAGAGGGAGGTGGTGCTGGATGAGGCCAGTTTCAGTTGAAAGGAATAAAGGCCATATTAAAGAAATGACATCATGACCTGGCCAGTTGTTCCAGTGGTTAGAGCATCGGCCCGCAGACCAGAGAGTCCCGGGTTCGGTTCCCGCTGGGGACATGTACCTCGGTTGCAGTTTGTCCCTGGCCCCGGTTGGGGTTGTGTGGGTGGCAGCCACTCGATGTGTCTCTCTCACATTGATGTTTCTCTCTCTCTCTCTTCCTCCCTCCCACTCTATCTGAAGATAAATGCAGAAAAAAAAATGTTCTTGGGTGAGAATAAAAATAATAATAATAATAATAATAAAAGAGAAATGGCATCTGCCCTAACCAGTTTGGCTTAGTGATTAGAGCATTGGCCCATGGATCGAAGGATCTCAGGTTCAGTTCCTGGTACCTCAGTTGCAAGTTTGATCCCGGGCTCCGGTTGGAGTTGCTTGGAAGGCAATCAATCAATATGTGTGTCTCTCTCTTCCTCCCTCCCTTCCACTCTATCTAAAAATCAGTGGAAATCCTTGGGTGAGGATTAACAACAACAATCAAAAAAGGAAATGAAGTCTGTGTGGTTACACTCTCCTATCAACACAGCTCCTCATAGCTCAAGAT